GAGATGAGGTCTCGCCAAGTTGCCCAGGCAGGTCTCGAACCCGTGGACTCAGGCAATCCATTCACCTCAGCCTCCCAAAGGCACGTGATTACAGGCTGAGCCACCAAGCCCGGCTAGGATTCTTTTTAAAAATTGCTATTATTTTATTATAAAGATGTGGGGTACAATTCAGGGTTAGGCATACAAATATTGATTATGCAGGTACCCTTGTTGATGAGGTGTACTCCTCCCTCCCCTGGCAGTTTCCCTCAACTGCCAATCCCTCTCCCCCTCCCCTGACAGTTTCCCACTAATGCCAATCCTTTTCTTATAGTATTATAATTGTTCATGGTCTGCTTATGAGTAAGAACATATATCAATAGGATTCTATGAAAAATACAAAGAATGACAAATAAACAGGATAGGAACATAAATGCCATATATATTAAAAATACTTTGTTTCATTATAGAACTGATTGAGCTTTAGTGGTGAATAGAACTTGTTTTTATTTTATATATATTTTTGTATAGTACAATTAAAAAAATTTTTTTTTAAATAAATCCAGGAGCTGTCCAGTCCTATGCATTGGAACTTAATTTAACAGATTCAGGAAAAGCCACTTGCCTTTATGCAAAATGGCAGATGAATTTCACAATATATTATGCAACTACAAGCAACACTACTGTAAGTAAATGTTTTAATTTTTCTTTGAGTTTTATAGTAGGGATTTAATTCTGACTCTTTTTTTACCCTTTGGATACATGTATACAAATAAAATTTCATGTCAACTGACTTAACACTTAAGCTCTCCTTTTTAAATATGCAACTTGAAGGTATTCTGTTTAGTGTTGGGATGAATATTTCTTCTGATTCATTGGTTCTTTGGAGTTTTTCTTGGAGTTGATTAAGGGCAAATGATCTGAAGACTATCTGGTGTTCAGGTCTGACTACTTCTGTAATGTGTTTAAAATGTACTAGCACCAAAGCTTATCCTTTTTAAAAATAGCTTGCTATTCCAAAGATCCCTTTTCTTGGGGGGGGGGGTCTCCTCTTAATCCTTTGCCTTATTATTATTATTATTAAGGTCCTGTTTACTTATTTTTTTAAAGTCAACTTAACAACAGTTTAGGTCAGTTTTCCTTTTCTTTTTAGATATTCGTGAATTTGTACTGAGGACTGGTGTGTATCTGGTTTACACAGCAACCCAGACAAAGGACACCCTGGCCACAGGGAATGTATGATTTAGGCTGAAGTGGCATGCCTTGCATAAATGCTTGGTGTGCCTTGCTGCCCGTTTGTTCCTCACCCCAAAACTTCTATTTCTTTTAGGAATCTGTAACCATTTCAGACCTTGGCACTGTGACATATAATGGAAGCACTTGTGGGGATGATGAGAATGGTCCCAGAATAGCAGTGCAGTTTAGATCTGGTTTTTCCTGGACTGCAAATTTTACCAAGGCTGCATCTACTTATTCAATTGACAGCATCTCATTTTCCTACAACACTAGTGATAACACAACATTTCCTGATGCTAAAGATAAAGGTAACCATAAGAATTGGATTTGTGTTATATTCTTTTGCTTCTTACTAATGATAAAAAGTAAACAATTTAAAAATTGTTATGAATGTCTGACTTCCTAATTAGAATGGAGACTTTATATATTTATATTCCCCCAACCCTACACATAACACATTTGACCCAGTGATGATATTTGCTGTCATGATTTGAGTGCTTTTCTCTGTATCAGGTATTACCCTAAGTATGTTATCTGCAGCATCTCACTTAATTCTTAACAGCAACCCTGGGAAGTAGATGTTATCTCAGTTTTACAGATGAAGGGAATGAGACTTGATGAGATTAAATGACTTCCAAAGGTCATGCAATTTAGTAAGTGGGTGAGCTGGTGTCTGAAGCAAAGTCTTTTGAGCTACAGAATTCATACACATAATTCATTCAGTAGTGGATACTAAACACAGGTTGAATGAGTGAGAAAATCCCTCGACCTGCTGGGCTCCGGCGATCCTTCCGCCTCAGCCTTCCAAGGAGCTGGAACTACAGGCGCGTGCTACCACGCCCGGCCAATTTTTTTTGATTTATTGTAGAGATGAGGTCTCGCCAAGTTGGCCAGGCAGGTCTCGAACCTGCGGGCTCAGGCAATTCATTCATCTCAGCCTCCCAAAGCGCGGGATTACAGGCTGAGCTCTACTAATCACTATTTTAAATGTGTACAAGGTCAGTAACCTGAGGCTAGGAGGAACGCCTCATGTTGAAATCATTGTATCATTTAGATAGGATTTTGACTGAAAAGTAAATGGTAATTAAATAAAGGTAGAGCAGGGGGATACTGTTTTAAGACACCCAGTAGATGCCTGAAACTTCAGATAGTACCAAACCCTACACACTATACACTCTGTTTTTTTTGATCTGATAACCCAGATGACCTCTGTTTAATGGACAGATTGTGTAGACAATGTGGATGTGCTGGACAGAGGGATAATTCAAATCCCCAGCAGGGTGGAGTGGGACACCAAGATTTCATCATGATATTCACAATGGCGTGCAATTTAAAATTTATCAATTGTTTATTTCTGGAATTTTCCACTGACTATTTTCAGTCCTTGGTTGACCATAGGAAACTGAAACTGGGAAAAGCACAACTGCTGATAAGGGATGACTACTGCAGATTGAGTGAAGTCAACACTTGCTGCTGTTTTGAGACAATTTCAGGCCATAATGAACTTGGGAAGGCATTGGCCATTAGGCCATTCTAGTAATTTCCAGAACTGAAATGTATTAAAATGTTTTGAATACATAGTGAGGATTTTAATTGTGTTAGGGGTATAATTCTCTCCTTTTTGCCCCTTTATTGAGATTGAGTTAATATGGTGTTTGTTAGTAGCTTCGTTCTTCTCACAGATGGTATTTCATTCTGACCCCTGAAATATAGGTAGATGGGCTTTAGTTGCTTAGACCTGGGGATTAATAACTCATTTGCATTTATGGATATCAAAAGATCATATTTTAAAGACCCAAAAGTGAATGAGTGCATGTAAAACTTGGGAAATATTGCAGTCTGAGACTTGGAAATCAAATCCTAGTTTTCTTTCTTTTATTAATCTCTAAGTTTGAGAGGATAACTAAAGCAAGTGGTTACTAGCTATATTATGAATTTATCTTTGTTCTCTGCATTGCCTTTCAGAACTAGTATGAGATTTGCCTCCTCGCTTTCAAGGAGCTTAAAAACTAGGCCAAGCATGGTGGCTCATACCTCTAATCCCAGGGTTTTGGGGAGGCCAAGGTGGGCGGAATGCTTGAGTCCAGGAGTTCCAGATCAGCCTGGGCAACACGAGCCCCAGCCCCCATGTGTCTACGCACGTGCTCTCTCTCCCTCTCTCTCCCTCTCCCTTCCCC